GATTGGTGAAGTTGTCACAACTTGGCATGCTCTATCCCGGTTGGTCAATATTGCAAACGTTGGGGGTTCGCGCCTTACTGCCCTGCCGGCGTGGATGTTCACCCTCACACCCCCCCGCCGGCTCATTCGAATCGTCGATCGGCTNGCGGGGGAGCTGCCCGGCTGATCTGCCACATGAACCACCCCATACCACGCCTCAAGAACACGCAACGCTTTATCAATGCGCGATCCAGCTTTTCTGGAGGAGACTCTTGAAGACAGAATCCGACCGGAAGCTCCATCGCGATGATGTCATCGTCGGAGTCCACGTCATCGTCGCTGTCTAGCTGTGACAGGGGGTCTTGAACATCGCCCTGGTCATCACCTAGCAATGAAGCGATGTGAAAAATATTGTCCAGAAAAAGCCGACGTGAGACACGCGCGTTTGAACAAATTCACACCCCCCCACCAGCGTATGCAAAACGAGGGGCAAAGGCGAAATACAAACCGTACCTAGACTCGAAAACTTACCACCATCATCTGAGATTGCGTCGCTGTCGCAGCTTGATTCGCCACCGCCCGCCCCCCCATCGTCGTCGCCGACCTCATTATCCTGGTCGGGCATCTCCTCGTCACTGCTCGTGCCCCCGTCCATGAAGTTGTACGCCCCAACTACACCCTCCGGAGTGATGCGGTCGTCCAACGACCCGTCTGCCGTCATCGCCAGTCCGGCCTTCTCGAACAGGCGATGGCGGTACCCAGGCCGAGCGTCCATTCGCGCGACCGCCCTTGCAAGGAATCGCGTGAAAAGGATTCGCCTTGCACCAGCTGAAAGCTTGTTGATCTCCCACAGGCAAGGGTTTTCCTCGTGCCCAAGAAATTCATCCAGCTCGTTACCGACTTCGACTGCGAGGAGGCGTCCATAGTCGGTATGGACCGGTTGGAGTTCGTCGGTCAACTTGGGGTGAAGTAGCCGTAGCAGCGTGTCACACTCGCCGTGAAGGAATTTCTTGAACTCGTCCGTTGTCTGCGCGTGCAGGTTGTCCGCGAAAAGGATGGGCTGCTCCTCTTGAACGACACCTTCCTCCCCCGTGATGCTGCGTAGGAAGCTGTTTTTTGCCCACGCCATGCACGTTGGGCCGTCCGTCCACGCGTTCTCCTGGAAGAGCACGTCCACGCCGGGGTCGTACGCCGCCTTCTCCACCACTGAGATTTTGCCTTCGCCGCGGAAAATGACCGCGGTCCGCATCAACTTGTCGCCAGCTCCGATCCAACAGTTGAGTGTGCACTGTCGCTTCTCAAGACCAGGGAACGGCTGCCCAACTTACACTCGCAAAGCTCCCGTCTCGTCCCATGTCGAGCCGAGGCCGTTGACGAATGCGAACCCAACCTGGTCGACGTTGAAACGCGCATTCAGGCTGAAGCGCCCGTAGAGGGGCGATTCCGCAGGAACGATCGCAGCGCCGTTGTTCTCGGCCTCGCCCCCAGCAGCGGCCCGGCGAACGGGTGGTTCCTGCAGCAGCTGGCGTAGCCTCCTGTGGAAGCTCTTCATCTGCGGAAGACGGTCCTCTACCGACTTGTTCGTCATGTTTGTGCGCCTTCGTTTCGAGGGATGGTGGAGCTTCGCGAACTTCCTGCACCACCGGTCCTACGCTGAAAAGCTCTTTGCACGCGGGTCGTCCGGACACATTTCCACCACGAGCATTCTCGCGTTGAATCGAATCCAGGCTGTCGACACTCTGAGCTTCCTCTTGCGCGGTTGCCGCAGCAGCGAGTGCAGCTTCTTCTCTGCGTCTCCGAACCACCTCCTCTCCCTGCCAGTCTTGAAAAGGTCATTCTTCAAGACTGGCAGGGAGAGGAATGCCGGTCTTCCTTGCCAGGAACTGCTGACACGACACTCCGTGAACATGCCAGATGTTTTCGGCGTGATCGGCCTCCAGCTCTCGCAGCTCCGCGACCACCGCAGCCTCCTTCCTGTTGCTGTACTGCGTCCTCTTCTCAGTCCCTCGTGTTTTCTTCCGCTTGGTGTTCTTCGTCCGACAAAAGGCTGCCATCTGGCAAGTCTGATGTACCATCACCTTGGGTCCTTGGCTGCAGCTCAAACGAACAGCTCCCTCGCACGTGGTACATTTTCCGGCCCGCCGCAGTGGTGTGCCCGCCTCCTTCTGGGTGGTGAAATTCGACATAAAAACACCTGCCCGAATACCCGTGCCAAGGTGGAGTCGTCATGGGCCCACCAGTCGCGAGGGCGCGCCTGAGCCATGTCCAAGATGCCGAAGAGGAGCTAGGTGCACGGCACTCCAGTGTAGCGATCGACCTTGTTCGGAGGCAAAGGTCTTCGGGCAGTACAGGCACTTCAACTTGGAAGGAGGTGGTGCGATGGGATAATGGACGCGGGTGACTTTTTCCACGACGCCATTACGGGTACACTTGATCTGCGAGAAAATAGCAGCAAGGCGAGGCTACGGGGATTTTAGAGTGCAGCAAAAAATGTTTGTCAACTGTCCCTCCACGTAATTTACAACAGACATTTTCAACGGCAGCGGCACGTGATTGGCACGCTTCGACAACAGCAGCAAGTGTCGCTGAAAAGAAAAGTTGAAGAAAAACACGAGAGCAAAACAACGGGCAGTGCCAGGATTCACAACCGCGTCCTCGAACTCGATGGTGAACTAAAAGAACCCCCTTTCAAAACATTTCGTGTTTTGGTTTCTCTGCCGGCCAGATTGGCACACTTGGACACCAGCTGCAAGTGTTGCAGAAAAAAAAGTTGACAAAAAACACGAGAGTAAAAACAAAAGGGCACTGCCAGGATTCGAAACAGCGTCCGCAAACTCGATGGTGAACCAAAGAATCCTCGGCAGAATACTTTCGTGCTTTATTTCTCTGCCGGCGAACAATGCGGGCGAGGGAGGCGAAACAGGTGATGCACCGGACAAACACTTGTCATTCACGAACATGGCCAAAGGATGCAAGCGGAATCTCCATCCAACTCATCGGCTTGTTTGTTGCTGCGGACCAGCAGTTGACGATGTTCCCGTGCATCGTGTTCGCCGCCGCCCTCGCTTCCTTGGCCGTGCGCTTGCCCTTTTTCTGTGCGGAGCTAGGAGTCTCCACCACCTGCGACCCACCAACCCCTGCTTCTCCGCCCGCCGCTGCCGACCGTGGTGCTCCGTCTCGCAAAGGTCTGCAACTTTTGCATCTAGCTGCTCTCGGTAGTCTTCCGTCGTAAACATGCCGCTGGACAGCAAGTTGGCCATGCGCTCCACATGCGACCCGAACTTGTCATCGATGGGCTTGTTGGCCATCACGTGGTTCTTGATGGAATCTTTGTGGCTGCTCTCCTTGATGTAGCCGGCATCAACAAACTTCGACAACCTCTCGAGGTTGTCGATGGAGGCGTCTGAAAGCGGCATTGCCTTCCTCGTGCATGAAAAACACGAGTTTTTTTGTGAGCGGTGGCGGCGCTTCTGGGGGGTCCGCCGACGCGTCTCAAGGAGATCATGCCCTTCTGCGGCGGAAGAAGGCCCACGCCCATTGTATGTGCGTGGATGCCGTTTCTTACTTCCTGCGGCCAACCTTGGATCATCTGTTTCTTATGTCTAGGAAGTCAAAATTGTGCTATTTCTCATCAGTCCGTTTCTTGTCACTCTCCGTCAAAGTAGCTCAATTTCTTAGTTAGGCACTTTTTCTAAAGCAACCCAAAAATCTGAGTGTCCGGGTTTCTTACGATGGTGTTTCTTACGAGTGGGCCGGCATCATCACTATATAGAGGGCCCAGTGCTGTAGTCGATTTTGGCGTTGCTTTGGTTGGAAATCGCCGGAAGAACTGGGAGCAATGTATTATTATATTGGGAACCACAAAAAAAACTGTTCAGAAGGTCCGTCTTTTGTTTTGGGGATCGGTTTAGTGAATTCGGTACTTTTCTACCTCGGTGATACCCTTTGGTGCAGTGGACGAGTTTTCCAAGAAAAGCAACACACTCACATTCTATTACATCGCCTACAGAACGGGCCCGGAGATAAGAAACTTCAAAATCGGGTTGAACCCCGATCTCATATTTTGGGCAGAGGGACCAGCCGAAGTCGGCCCCATTTTTTCATAAAACTAATCTCTTATAACTTTGGGCTGTCCTATCCTGCTGATTCTCTTATTTTCATATATTCTTATTTCTGGCGAAGATAATAACACACCAGTACAACAGCACCAGTGGCTGGTGGGTATAGCGCAGGGTCACGGCGGCCATGTGCATTGATGTGTGTTGTGTGTGTTTTCGTCCAATTTGTTCTGGCGACAGTCCTCCCATTTTTTGTGGTGAGACTCTTCAATTCAGTGCATCAAGAGTACCGCACTTTTCAGTCAGTGCACTCTTGGTACAACTCTACAACCATTCAAGTCCACACAGGAGGGGGTACAGTTGGGCCTTTCTTCTTCATTTTTTCTTTCTTTCGTGCCCTACCACCTGCGGTGCGTGGTGAATTGTGTTATTTTTCGCGAGACAGGGATGGATGCAGTCGTCCCTTCCCCTCTTCGACGGTGCTGACGTCGAAGCTTAGTAGTACTCACGAGCGTTTTTCTCTTTTTTGTTGTTGTTTCACATCATCGGGATTCTTACTCTTCTCGACGTTGCCACTACTAGCAGAGTTATTTAAAACTCAGATTTGGGGTGGGAGGATTATTTCGGTCCATTCAGCAATATGCCAAATATATGCCTGTGCCCCAGCCATATTTAAAACTCAGCCGATCACGAAAAAACTGCGGACCGCGGTCTCCCACAAGGGACTGTAGGCTTGGGACGAGATCTCCGGTGTCGTAAGGTGCTGTCTCCTTTCCACCCACACACTGGCACGAAGGCCCTCGGTGCAGCCTTGCTGCTGCTACACGTTTTGATCGCCAGAGCTCTGCCTGCTGCGGCCGACGCAAGGTCAACCATGCTGACCCTTGACCCGCGGAAAAGAAAGTTAACTGTCTTGATGTACCAGCGGAAGAAAAGCACCAACTTCTCCACCGCCGCAGCTCTCGGCGATGACGACGACGTAGAGGACGAAAAGGAAGAACAATCAAGACGTACAAGCAACAAAACCCAATTCGAAGCTTCCACCGCGGCGGCGCTGATGCGCCCGCCTGCTGTGGTGGACAGTCGTTATGCTGACGAGTTGGAGGAGGATATGCGTAGCGGTTTAACCTATCGGCATACTCTGAAGTAGCTCGGACCCCTACTCCCTCGCATTGGCAAGGGTAACAGCGCCACGAACGACACTGCCAGTCGCGCACGTCTGCCCCTTCAGGTTCCCTAGCGAGGAGGGTGGGATCTATGATGCCCACAGTAGCAGCCAGATTCGTTACAAAACAGGGATGGAGAAGGACGAGTTCGACGCCTTTTACGAAGACACGTTCCTGGATGCTGAGGGAAACCGTCTCGCCCGCTCATGGCTGTTTGGGCAAGCTCGGAACCACCTCGGAAACTACTCGGCGGAGGACAACAAGGCCAGGCGGCTCATCCGGGGGAGCATGGATGACAGAGACCGAGTTTTGTGCTGGCTGGAGATGCTCAGGAGGGACACTTTGTTCGAGGACATGGCCCTCGCATATGGACGGTGTGCTGGGACGTATCACAACGACGACGGCGGCCGCGCAGAACATGCCTTGTCTGGAAGAGGTGAGAGTGCATGCATTGATTTGCAGTTGTATTCTACAAAACACAAACTTGACTCATGATACGCTGAAGAATTCGGAGTGGGAAGTGATATTTGGCATGACTCGAGGGAAGACGTTCAGGATTAGAGCCATGCGTCTACCTCGTGTTACTGCAGAACCGTCAGCGGAAACAGGCCGACGCTCGACACCAGCACTAGCCCGTCACGAGCCCA